GGGGGGGGGGGGGGGAGGGGTAGCCAAACTGGAAGAGGGAGAAGCAGCACAATGAGTCAATCAGTTGTGCTGCAGTACTCACAAGCTAACAAGGAGCAAACTGACAGAAGGAGAAAGCAGAGTGACAGAGAAAGTAACAGAGATGAGTTCAACATTCTGCTGCTTCTCCCTTACTGTCCAGGCACAGGTTGGAGAAGAACACATGCCAGAGTTACTTAACCGCTGCAGAAAAACATTATGTCCCCTCTAGACAGAGCTGTGGTGTGTTGCAGAGCTGTGTAAATCTCAAAACTGGATAGATAGAAATAAAAAACACTTGACAGGCAAAACAGCTCCTAAATAAGGGTTAATATTTGTGGTGTCCCCTTGGAAAATTGCGGTTCTGCAAAAGAAATAAAATGATGTACAGTAAACTCCTCATTATCCGGCATTCAAGCAACAGGGCCAGTGGCTTGATGCACTCTAAATATTTGTCGGCTACGTGGTCCACGATAAAAATTTGTCAGCAACTAAATGTATTTAGTTGCTAGGGAAACTCTTTGTTTACATCTTGCTGCAGGCCAGTGGCTAAATTCCACAGAATGCAGAAGAATGGAAACAATGGAGAGCAATAGCCAACCTGCGATTGGCTATTTCAAATTGCAAGAACCAACAGCAAGCTGGCTATTGTACCCACCCACTGAGCAGAGGAACTTTCTCTCTCTCATGGTCCCCTCCCCTGCTCAGTGGGCACCTACTGATCCCTGTGGGTTCCAGATAACTGGGAGTTTACTGTACACGTGTGGTGAGTGTGTAACATCTGCCATAGTTATCCTATACCGTTCCATAACAGAGAGATACAAAGCCCAACATATTGTTAAAGTGACATTAAAGTCACAATTCCCCCCCCCCCCCCATGCTACTTTAAGGACTTACCTTAAATGATGCCTCTTGCTCCAATCATCTTCTTCCTTCCACTTGTTATTTAGAAGTCCCTCCAGCGCTGGTGCCGGTCTCTGATCCAGCGCAGACTCGTGTCCCACAGTGTCTGTCAGATGTGCATTCTCCTCCACTGTGTCTCTCCTCTTCTCCCCGCCGAAGATCTCTACTGCGCATGCCCTCGCCCCATTATCCTGCACGGCCGCTCGAGAATTTTCAGCAGGGAGCAAGCAGCGGTAACCGAGGTAATTACCTTTTTGGTAACTTTTTTTCCTTCTTTTTTATGTCTTTGCATAGATCTACTACTTGCTAGCAGTAGATATATGAAAAAAAAAAAAAGGAGTGTTTAATTCTGCTGTAAACAAGTTGTTTAACATATTCTGTTCCAGTGACACTTCAAAGTGAACTTATCACATTTACAAGCAAGTCAGAGTAAAGCTGGCTAAACACTGAGAATTTCAGCCCATTCTTCATGAAGTGGATGTAAGTCGCTCAGTGGGTGGCCCATTCTGCCACCTCGCATCCGATATCCTTCAATTGAAAAATCAAAGGAGCTGGGCGGAAAATTGCTGGCCACACAGCGCCTGTATCCAATCAGACAAAAGGCACCATTCAGGAATTTTGACAGTGGGCGGGGCTGACTGTCAAAATACAATAGCTCCAGCAGGAGATTTCTCCAACAACGAAATGAATTTAAAAACAACCTAAGAGTATACACCAATATAACCCAATGTTTGTCATCTTGATATCTTTCAAATATTTGCATTCCTAAATTCCATGCTGCACTAGAATATGCAAATGACAACACTTGGCTGAAGCTTTCCCCACTTTTCCTGAGGCTAGACCAGACTTTCTCAACCAGGATGCCTTATGGCCTCCTCAAAATCCTCCTAATGTGAAGGGGAGATTTTGATGTGAATGGTGGTGGTGGTGGTGTGGTGGAACTTCTGATGTGAAGTGAAGCTTGTGATGTTAAGGAGAACTCTGGTGTGAAGGGGGCTGCTATTGTAAGAGGGGGGTTCCTCCTGGTGTGAAGGGGTAATCTGATGTGGAAGGGGAATGGCTCTGTGAAGGGGGGGGAATCTAATTTTTGTTTTGTTTTTGTATGGGTGTCCCCTTTAAAATCCATTATACAGTAATACCTTGGTTTACAAGTAACTTCGTTTGAGAGCGTTTTGCAAGACAAGCAAACATTTCTGGAAAAGTTTGCCTTGATATACAAGCAAATGTCTTGCAGTAAGAGCAAAATTTTGCAGAAAAGCGCCACCGAATGAGGCTGAAGCAGTGCGAGCGATGTGTGTGTTTAACGACAACACAATGTCACATCGGATAGATTCTTGTTAAGGTTTCACGAAATGAAAAAGATTCCATTGAGTCAAGGGATAGCAGTGATTCCGTTAGTGATAGTGAAAGTCGTCCTACACAATAATCCTTCTCTCTCTTGTCCCCCTCACACCAGCCACGAAGGTACCGGTAATTGGTTTATTTTTCTTTATATTTTATACAGTATTATATTGTAATTATTTTTATATGAATATTTTTGGGTTGTGGAATTAATCATCTGAATTTCCATTATTTCCTATGGGGAAATTCGCTTTGATATACAAGCGCTTTGGATTACAAGCATGCTTCCGGAACAAATTATGCTCTTAAACCAAGGTATTACTGTATTTTAGACTGGGTGCCTCAAGATTTTGCATACTTTTAAAGAGTACCATAGCTAAAAAAGGTTGGAAATGCTGGGCTAGACGACCCCCCTGCCCCAGGTTGTATGCGTCATTCCCCATTCTCAGCAAGATTTATCTTACTTCTACTAATGTTCAGTCTGGGAAATAAAGAAAATCTGTGCCAGTATGGTTATAGTCAGCTGTCAATATGTTGTTACAATGGCAGATAAGACCCTCCATATGTTACATCTGCATTTAACTGCAACTGACCGGAAAGGGGGTGTTCAAATTTTAAAACAGGGACAGTAGTCTCTGTGCAACACAGTTAGCAAAGGCATTTTGTGAACACAAAGTGGAATATAGTTAAATAAAAAAGTTTTAGTGCCTGGAGTTCAGCTTTAAAAGCATGCGCATTTACCCAATGACACATACCCAAGGTTGTCTATACTGGCTATCAAGGTGTATGAATTGATATTACAATGCCTCCCACAAGAGCATAACGTGACTAGTGTGCTTTAACCCTTAGTGCATCAAACTGCATTTCATTATATACCCCTTTAAGAATGAAGATCACACGTCAACAGAAGACAGTATCTACAGTACAATATAGGGACCAGGACCATGTGTCAGAGCCGGCTCCTGCTAGTCAGGTACGGCTGGAATTATTTCCAGTCTACTCCTCAAGGCACATCTCATACCCCAGTATTGTTGTACTAACGAGAGGGAGAGAGATCACTTACATTGTACCATA